CTTTTTCCCTCTTTTGCATAAATCAAATTTTGTTTTTGTCAATTCTCTTCCCTACAGGTCTCTGGAAAGTGCTGACTCTTGCCAGGGAATAGTGAGTTGCCTCAGAAGATATCAGGTGCCCTCAGCCAACTTGCCCAAGTGGTCATTCTTCATCTGTGAAACCAAATAAAGTTCAATCGGCTGAAACCAATCTTGTTACCACCTATATCCACACAAGTGCACTATCTGTATATTGATCACGAACAGGAAGGCTAGGCAATTCTTTCCTCCCTCATCCAACATCCGTTTAAAAAAGTGTATATAATCTTAAATCATACAAAATGCTTTCTTTTTCAGAACTTAAAAATGCTATGGAGTACCTTTTCAAAAAATTCAAGATTTTTTTTCGATGTGATTCCAGTACAATGTGAAAAGAGACTTGAAATAAGTACGACTGTGCAACTCAGTGCTCGTTCATTTTCTTTGATGTAGGAACCAGGTGGCAGAAGGCAGAAAGCTTTCAAACTAATTAAAGCTCACGTATTATGCATTTTAACGTGCAAATTCCTGATTACATTACTTAATCAAATAAGCAGATTCACTATCCAGTGAAATACTGTTTAATCTGCATTTCTTTCCAACCTCGTTTCAATTTGTTTTTATCTACACCACCAACTGCAGCCACACAGTTCCAGATGTTAATTCTTGATCCACTGGAGGCACCATGCAGTTACACAAATGCAGATGATTGCCAGTCATCAAAAGAAACTCAGGGGCAACAGAAGACTATAGTGTTTGGAGTAACCTCACATTGGAGTAACCTTTGCCCTTTGATACAACAGTGATGATCACAGTTCTCTGATGTTTTTACTGTCTCTAGAGACTGAAATGAGCAAAATCTGTGTTAAATAAACAAGAGCTTTAAGATTTTTCACTATACAAGTATACTATAAAGAGCTATAACTGGAATGGCCACTTGGTCAGAATACCAGAGGGAGCCCAAGGACTATGAAAAAGTAGCCAACATGAGTTGACACCAGTAGAAGAGAGAAAGACTATAGCTAAAAATTTTAACCATCGATTATCATTTCTCTTTCAAACTCTTCCGTCTTATGACGTCTTATGTCTTATGCCTTTGCAAACTGATCACAAATTTTTCATAGAACTTTGATTAAAAACATCCTGCTATAAATGCCACTGTAGGGACTGTTCCAGATTAAACACCCAATAATTAACCTCCACCACACAAGCAAATACAGACCCTCGTTGATTCTAAATATAAATGGCTACACAAATTGTCCTCAAAAATATTAAATGAATCATTGAAATGACATGTTTTTTAAAAAATCTCCTATTCATGTCCTAAATCTTGGCATATAGTCACGCTTCACTACCCAAATGACCATTCTCTGCATGTGAACCTTCCCTAGACAGTGGCAGCAACCTTTCTTACTGTGAAGACATCACAACTAGGCCTGATCCCGTTTTAATCTGATGTCTACACCCACTTTCCAACAGCAGTCACTTGAAGTCATGCTGTCTGATTTTTCTCTTCCCTTATCAAGGACCTATTATTAGGATCAATTGTAGCATCGCTATTGTTAACCTGACAGAAATCAGCTAATTTAGTATAAACCAGGAAGTTTGAGGATCTATGTAGCTTTGTTTCACATTGGATGGTTGAGTTTACTACTTGAGGTATTAGGAGAGGATTAGTTGAAATCTTGGGGGGTGGGGAAGAGAACTGCAATGCACTATGTCTGAAGTCACTTTATTGACAGCAGTGTTTTCTCACAATTGCATCTTGTGCAGAAAAAACTATAAAAAACAACATTCAAATTGGTCAGTGAATGGAAATGCTTTACAGGGTGAAACACTGTCTCATGCATTTGCAGGCGTTGAACTAGTGTCCTTCCACCTGTTAATTTTTAACGTACCATCTAGAATCAACATTCGGTGTCAATCACATTGATGTATCAATTTGGGAAGAAAATCAATAATTTTTGCTTTCATACAATCCCAGCATAGAAGGCCAATCTTCTAGCAACTTTTGATCTTTATTCTAAACATTCTTCATTTTTCCTATATTGATTTAAAATTACATGTCAATGACAGTTCAATAAACTTGTTACTGAATACAATACAGAGTTCTACACTTTGTTGAGTGATTGAAGAAAGTATTACTTCAATGGATACAATACACATTTACATTTATATGGTGCCTTTAAGTCGGGAGGATGACCCTTCAGGATTTACAACTGAGGTGGAGATTGGGGCTAAGGGAGTGGCGGACAGGGGTGGGGGTTGAGATGGCTGAAGGTGTAGTCATAGTGGAAGGTCTTGAGACACACCCTGAAGAAGGAGAGGAAAGAAGCGAGTCGAAGGGACTCTATTCTCTTCACCATTTGACTAATGGTTTTCTGAGATCCCTTATTGACAAGTATAGGACTTTTTTCATTTGTCACTTAATCCTCCAAGGTAATGAAATTGAAAAGTAAATTGGGTTAGACATTGGACTTTTTGATTAAACATTACTGAAATTTATACATTCATACCTTCTTAACCACTCAAAATTCAGAAATCTACTCTAGGAACTGAAGTGCTGCGTACAAAAGGAGTGCTGCTGAGAGAGCGGAAACATTTCTACTTTTAGAGACCCTTAACAGGCTCTATTAACAGAGCTAATATTTCAACAGAATGTTCCTTTCTAGGTAATTGATTTTTACGATTGAGACTAAATCAGATCTCCTGAATTTTTAAATGATAAAATGAGCATCCAGCAATCCTAAATCCGGTTAGTCAGATACTCTGCAATTTTAAAGCTGACAAAAGAGCCAATGGCAACATACCTACATTGAGTAGTTCACATCTCTAAAGCAGGTAGTGAGTGATGTAACAAAACCAAAGGCCACAAATACAGCTGTGGCAAGGGGAATTCAAAGCAAAAAATGCTCTTGATTGTTAACTAAATAAAATCCAATTTTCAATATAGTAATGGAACAAGGCATTTCTGGTGAGGAGATTAAGCCCCAACATGTCAACCAAGGTAATAAGTAAGAGACTGTTAAAGCTGCCTCTGCCGCTCAGGGGTCCTGGAAGGAAGTTCAGAAAAAACTGCATGACTTAGAAGGGAATTCACCAAGGTAAAGGAGGGAATATTGTTATAAGGCCAAGACAAGGAAGGTGCCCATGTGTGGAATTTGGAAAATGTCAGGTTCCAACTCAGTTGTTTTGCCTCGTGTGATTGAATAGCCCGACAAAATTCAATGTCAAGAGTTATGAACAATAGTCACAAGAGCTAAATACCAGAGGGTGGCCAGTGCCCATGGAAACATACCCCAGTAGAAGGAAAATGAGTTGAAAACCTTCAGGTAAGGAGTTGAGGGAGAAAATTCGCAAGGAAAATAATTTTTTAAAAAAAGCTGACTGCATTCAACATTCTATTGTTTCTTCATTCTGTTTGGACTGCTTTCCTCAATCCCTTGGGTGACAGTAACCTGCCACATGATGTCTGATGCTGGATTTGTCCCCATCTGAGCTCTAAAGTTTCCCCATCATTTTTCAAAGCCCGCGAGTGATACAAACTAGTATTGGATTCATCCAACGATCAGAGCCTTAGCAATACCTTGATTAATCCTGGAGGAACAGGCGGTTCCTATATTCAGTGCCAATCTTAGGCACGCAAAATAATCAAAATAAAAAGTATTGTTTCTTGTTTATATTATGCCTAAAACTGTACTTAATTCAGCAAAACCAAATCTGCAGAATTCCATTTTTTTTAAACACAAAAGCACAATCAAATATTTCAATAGATTTGAATTAATTCTTCAACTGTGGAATGATTTTATATTGACCATTACTGAATCCAATGACATTCTGGGTGTACTTGACTTCTATACTGATTTGGATAGCAATTGAATAGCTGAATAGCTACTAATAATAGTATTATTAGGCACCAAAAATAAAATGTAAAACAGGTGGTGAGATGATGAAAATGTATTTGTGTTCCTAAATGAACACTATAACCTAACTATAAATTGGTTCATAAAAGGCTGAAAAATATGGCCCAACCTACAGATGATATGGTTTTTAGAGACTTCTAAAATAAACTGCAGATATATTGCTTGATCTAAATTTAAGCTTCACTTCTCATTATAAACAGAAAATATGCTGCTAAATTATAATTAAACAACTGCAATATGAATACCACATTGCATGGTATTCATGTTGTAGTTGTTAATTACAATTAAACAACTTATTTTATCAAACAGTATTAATTATTTGATTTAAACTATATCTTAAAGGAACATTTCCCACTGGTTTCACAAAACACAGGAAACAAACATGCAACATTCTAGGTTATACAAAAAACATTCTAATTGATTTGAACTTAAATAATTCTTCTGAAAGGTAAATTAAACGAAAAATGTATCATAAGAGTTTCAACTGGCAATCATAGCATAATCCAATATATTTAGGTTAACAACAATTTTTTCTAAGAGAAAATGTTTGCGCCCATCACCTTTAAAAATTACAGGTAAAATTACAGAATTTCAGGAAATTTGAACAGTCTCAAAAGATGAAATAGAATGTTTTCAAATTAACTGCTTGTGGAAAAAGTCTAGATTGCCACAAATTTTGCAGGCAATTACATTTAGAAAGTGCCACAAAACTGATAATGGGCTACAGTGAGAAAAATCTGGTGAGGAAATTAACAGCTCTGGTGGAAAACTTTAATAGTAATCCAGAAGAATTTCTAAACCCTGGAACAGACAAGTAGATGAATCATATAAAAGATTTCGAGAAGATGGCTCCTAAACTAATTAAATCTACGTGCCAAGCTTGATTCCCTTTGGAATTTAGGTAAAATGTATCATCTCTTCTTAATTAGTATAAGTTTCTTTATAACATATTGTTTTAAATTAGACTTGTTAAGAAAACATTTATTTCATTTGGTTTAATTACTATGTTTTCATGCTGTTCTCTTCCCTTTAAGCACTTGCCAGGTTTCCACTAGTTACCTCGAATTACGTAATTGTCAAGAGCCTCTTCCATTCTCTGTAGTGCTTCTGCACGATTAGTGCCATGCGTAACCAGCTAAAACAAAAGAATGCAAATCAGTTTCAGTAACCTAGAATTATGCCCACACTAAACTAACAAAAAGAAAATTTAAGGTTATCTGAATACAAATTATTTTATTTTACCATACATTGCACTTCAGAAATATCCCAGTAATTTAGTATCTCATTCCGGTGAACACCTTCCACCACATATATTAACATTGTACATGGATGACATCCAACTGGTGGGGATGGTGTCAAGGGAGCAGGTGCGTTTCAATTCTTACCCAATTAGGAGGGCGGCTGAAGGCATGGTCGAAAAGGAGGGTCTTGAGTCATGCCTTGAGGTAGGCAAGGGAGGGGGCATGATGAAGGAATTGCGGGATGACGTTCCAAAGGATGGGGGCAGAGAGGCTGAAAACCCGTCTGCCGATGGTAGGGCAGGTCGGGCGGGAGACATGGAGTAGGCCGGAGCCTGCTGAACGGAAGAAGCGGAAAGGTTGATAGGGGGTCAGCAGATCAGAGAGGTAGGAGGGGGCAAGGCCGTGGAGGGCCTTAAAAGTGAGGACGAGGATTTTGGATTGTATCTGAGAGATGGGGAGCCATTGGAGCCAGGCAAGGGTGGCGGTGATGGGGTCACGGAGCCTGGTGCGGGAGAGGACACGAGCTGCAGAGTTCTAGATGATCAGCAGCTTGTGGAGGCAAGAGTTGGGGAGGCCGACAAGGAGGGAGTTTCCATATTCAAGCCTTGAGGTGACAAAAGCGTGTATAAAGGTTTCAGCGGCCTGAAGGATGAGGCAGTGGCGAAGTCAGGCAATGGTGTGGAGATGGAGAAGGCAGATTGGGTCATGGCATGGATATGGGGGAGAAAGGACAGTTGAGGGTCGAACGAGACGACCAGGTTCCTGACTAGTTTGGTGAGGTGGAGTGTGCATCCCTGGATGGTGATGCTGCCAGTCCCTGAGGTGCAGAGGTGCTGGCATGAGCCAATCAGGAGGGCCTTGGTCTTGCTGACATTCAGCTGTAGAAAGCTGGCTCTTATCCAGGACTTGATGTCAGACAGACAGACAATGTCAGCACGCCAGTTGTCCTGGAATCGAGGGTGGAGGCAGAGAGATATAGATGGGTGTCATCTGCATTCATGTGGAAGTTGACCCCATGTCTACGGATGATGTCACGAACGGGAAGCATACAGAGGTTGAAGAGGAGGGTACAGAGGACAGAGCCCTGAGGAACTCCGCACGAGACTGTGCGGGCACTGGAAGAGAAACCGTTGGCGGAGACAAATTGGAGACAATGTGAGAGATAAGATCTGAACCATTCAAGGACAGAACCTTGAAGGTTGAGGTGAGAGGAGAAGCGGTGGAGGAGGATGGAGTGGTCCACGGTATCGAAGGCAAAAGTGAGGTCGAGGAGAACGAGGAGGCAAAGGGAGCCCTGGTCACAGATGGACAGGATGTTGTTTGTGACCTTGACCAGACCAGCTTCCGTGCTGTGAGCAGCACAGAAACCCAATTGGAGAGGCTCATGAATGGAGCGGTGGGAGAGGAAGGAGCACAGCTGGGAAGCAACGACTTTTTCAAGGACCTTGGAGAGAAAAGGGAGGTTGGAGATGGGCCAATAGTTAGAAAGCAGGGATGGACCCAGGGAAGGTTTTTTCAGGATGGGTTTTTAGGGGGATGGGAACGGTGCCAGATGATGGTAGAGACTGATGGTGTCGGAGAGTAGAAAGGTGAGGAGGTGGAGCTGAGAGTTAAGGAGAGGGGTGGGGATGGGGTCAAGGAAGCAGGTGGTATGTTTCATGCTGGATATAGTGGTGATGAGAGAGGAGGGGGAGACAGGTTCAAAGATGTGGAGGGAGGGAAGGGTAAGGGTCGGAGTTTTGGGGAGAGGTGGAGAGGGAGTGGCAGTTGGGAGGGCAGAGACAGCTGATCTGAACCTCTCAATTTTGGACTCAAGGAAATCCAGCATCTCCTCACAGTCAGAGTTTGAGGAGAGAATGGGCGAGGAGTGGAGGCTGGACGGAGGAGTTGGTTGGTGGTGAGGAATAGGAGCCTGGGGAGACAGCATAGTAACACCATGCTAGTGCTCCAACATACTGGTCCAACATACTATGGAATGTCAGAGGGCAGTTTTGTTCCTGCAAGTTACCCTATACATAATTTCTGACTTAATGGGCACTGTTGTGTATAGTTGGAAAGCAGAAACCAGATACTTTCCCACCAAGGAGAGGAGAAAATAGAGGAAGGTCACCTTATGAAATAGGCATTGCCAGAGGCCTGGGAGTAAGTCACAGGGAGAAAGAGAATTGTCCTCTTTCCCAGTGAATGTTGTGACATGGGGACACACTAAGAAACACCAAGCAAAATGAACACTGTTCTTTATCTATATTCACAAGAACAAAATTGTACCAACCTTTGATATCATAGGATCATAATAAATGCTGATCTCACTTCCTTCTTGAATGCCGCTGTCAACTCGTACCTAATGAAAACAAAAAGGTTAATTTAAGCATTTGCAATAGCTAGGTTAAAAAAAAGCAACACCATTCATTGCATAACTTTCATGTGTTTAAAAACATAACTGTAAGGAAAACACTCCACAACTCTAAACTTTGCGCAATTTAGATACGTCTCATTTAGACATAGAATCTTTAAAAAATCCCTCACAATTAAACACTTGAAGTTTGTATTTGAAATTAGTACCATATAGCAAATATCTCACAATATTCCCAGGTTACCTTCACCTTAACAGTACAGCAGTTATCCCTATATCTCTCTTGGGAATTTACTGTTTACACAGCTTTTTTCCATTCCTGAACATCTAGCCCACAGTCCCACTAAAATAGTATTGCTGTAGTTTACAGTATAAAGAATTTGCTAAGAATCCCCTCAAATGAATTTACATTCTGTTAACCAACTATCAAAAAGTGTAAAGTTAGCATATTGCTTCTTCTCGTTTCCTTCTCTGTTTGACTTCATTAGTGTTACACTGGGGTTTAGCTGTATGAAACTTTTTAAAATGAGCTATTCCTGGGGCACAAGTATTTATTAAATTGCTGTTGTCAAAATTTGGCATGCAAAGTATTTAAAAACTAATCAAAATATTCAAGGCGTACAGAAACGTCCCAGGGATCTTGGGAACAAAAAAGTATGTCCAAGCTGCTCGAACAGCAGGCCTTTGAAATTCAACATTGTGGCAAAATAAACCCAAGAAAATGCTCATACATCTTCACCAAGGGAAGAAACCTTCATAATAAACAGCAGCAGCACATCTGTTTGCAACGAGGCAGAAACAAGATGGTCACTGTGATGGCTGTTAAGTTTTTAATATTTTAATTTAGGCGATTGTCATGGGATTAAAATGTAGATTTTCTTGTCTGCTGCAGTCTGAACCTGGTATAGAGATGTCTTTATTTCAAACACTGTGAACAAGTGGCAGCATTAATGACTGAAGCTAAGTGAAAATTTAGTTATTTCAAATGAGGCACATCGTTTTTTTAGTTAGAACTTACATTGTTTACATTTCTTTAGATTGTATGCCATGTTTAAAAGCTACTTCTTTTTCCTCTTTATTTTATGAATATAGCTTTGCTATCAATTTAACTGAATGATAATTTATCCAAGATTAAATGCGCACTAGCTCTGCAGCATAGCCTACCCAACCAAAAGTTGCAACCTTATTTTCAAATCTGCCTTATATTCATTGCTGCAATCTCACCTGTTATTCAGAGGATTGCTGGATAAAATGAAGAAATAATACGTAAAGTCATGTGAAATATTGAAAGGAACAGTGTTACTTTGCAAAAGTATTACTTTGCAAACGTGAACCTTCTGTCGGTCCGCAAAGTAATGCTAACCTTGAATGTGGAAAAGTTCCCATAACAAATTGCTTAGTTTCAAAAGAAAACATAGTAATGGTATTGAGGAGGGAACAGCTTACAACTATTTATTGTGGTAACAAATACCAAAATTTGTTTCCTCACATATTTGTTTTGAAACCAAAAGGCATCAATTGTGAATTTATTTGGGGCTTGTGAAATTAGGGGACTACAGTGATACAAACTCAGCACCTATATATTGCAAACGCAAAAATATTTTCTTTATCATATGCAATTGATATTAATATTTTAAAAAATCATTGAAAAACTGAACTAGTCCTATATTTTATAAACTCGAAAAATTGAAACATTCAGCCATTGCACTCACAGGATTTTTTAAAAAACTGCAGATTTAAAACAGAACCGACACAGAATCCTTTGCCAGTCCCTCAACTCAGCCCTCTGCCTACACTATTAATCACCAATATAACCAACTAGTGACTTTCCTCCTTGGGGAAGGTAAGTGTGATCTCCATGGGATGAGCTGGCCTCAAGGAGACGTGCCTGGCAATGGAATATCAGAATCAAGTTTAGCAGTCTCAATAATTCAGTTCCTGAGCCAGGCAGGGCCGCAGTACTCGTTGATTGTGTTGGTGCAAAACCATCCAGCCTGGCTCACCATGAGGACCTGGGAGGGCAGAAGAATCGCTGGGTGTAAAGAATCTTCCTACTCAGCTTCTTTCAACTCTGCAAGCCACAGCCCCAATGGGTAAGGTGAACCCAGTTAGACAAGCAGCAGGAAGCTTGTGAGACTTGCGATCATTAACTGGTTAAACTCCAGCAGTAGCCTAATACCCAGTCTGACATTCCCAACCTGTTGGCCGTTGAAAATCTGCATCTAATATTTTATCGGAATTAGGAAGGTAGGGTGGTGCGATGCATCTGAGAAGAGAGAACGCATTCTATTCCAGGCATAGAGAAATGTTCATGTGTAGGTGATGTGCATATAGAATCATAGAATATTACAGCACAGGAGACCATTCAGCACATCATGCCTATGCCAACTCTTTGGAAGCACTACTCAATCAGTCCCACTCTCCCATTCTTTCCCCATATCCTGCAAATTTTTCCTCTTCAAGTACCTAACCAATTCCCTTTTGCAAGCTGTTATTGAATCCGTTTCCACCATCCTTCCAGGCAGTGCATTCCAGACCATAACAACTCTCTGTGTGAAAAAAAATTCTCCTCATCTTCCCTCTGGTTCTTTTGCCAATTATCCTGAATCGATGTCCCCTGGTTACCCACCCACTTGCCAGTGGAAACAGTTTCTCCCTATCTACTCTCAAAACCCCTCATAATTTTGAACATCTCTATTAAATCTCCCAACCTTCTCTGCTCTAACCAGAGCAATCCTAGCTTCTCTAGTCTCTCCACATAATGAAAGTCCCTCATCCCTGGTACCATTATGGTAAATCTCCTCTGCACCCTCTCCAAGGCCTTGATATCCTAAAGTGTGGTTCCCAGAATTGGACGCAATATTCCAGCTGAGGCCTAACCAGTGATTTATAAACGCTTAGCAGAACGTCTTTGCTTTTGTACTCTATGCTTCCATTCAGCGCCTTGGGACGTCCTCCTGACGTGAAAGGCACTATACAAATGTAATCTTGTTGTTCTTGTTATAAAGCTAAGGATCCCATACACTTTTTAACAGTTCTATCAACCTGTCCTGCCACCTTCAAAGACCTGTGTAACTATCTGTGTAAGATATGTGGAACTCGCAGTCTACGTTGGATTCTCCTAAATTGGGAGATGGGTTTCAGTGTGTCAAACTCATGGTTCACAAAACCAAAATCTATCTACATTAACGTTACTCTTTTGGAGGCTTTGGCTTAATGTGACAGCATCTTTTCTCGATGCCCATTTCTGTCCTCCCATAATCTAAAATGAATATTTGAAAAAATACTAATAAAATATTGAGAAAAACAGTAGAAATTCCTGCAGAGTAAAATTATGCTTGGAATATCTCCAACATTTAACTAAAACACACCAAATATTTGTGACACTTTTGTAAACCTTTTTAATTTGAAAAATCATCAAGGATTAGTCGTATTTCCATTTTGTCTATTGTTTACATAGAATTTGGTTCTATGATATTTGTCATTATTTTCTTTTTTTTCAGGAGGGGTATGGGGTACAAACTGTGGTAGACACAAATACATTGGATGCTGTATAACACTGGATTCTTGGATTCACATCCCAAGTTCAGGTAATATTTAGCTTTACTTATTCACAAGTGGTCAAATTTCCTTTTCTTTCCAATCAGGCTACCAGATTAAGTATATATTAGAAGTAGAATTTAAAAGAAAATCCTTTACTTGAGAGGGATATGGGCATTTTAATAAAAATAATCAGATGAAGGTCCTGAAAAACCTGCCTCCTATTGGCCTAAAACAACAGTTCACATAGTGGCCTGGCAAAAGTCCGCAGTTCAGATACATTGATGAAAAGAGTCAGAGGCTGAAAAGGGTGAGGGTTGCAATATTTTGAATCCTACCATCATCAAAGGATTAAACATTTATTTTGCATTCATTCACAAACAAACTTTAACAGTACAATTATTGGTTCTCCTTCCTACTGACATAAGAACAGAAAGTAACTCTAGTATTTTTCTGAGCAACTTTCCAAATACGCATTTTAGCTGTTTTGGCCACCAGCACTCTACAAATTTCTACACCATAAATCAAAGACAAATTGTGCCTAGAAGTTAAGAAGGAAACTTATTTCACTCTGCACTCAGCTACATGTCAAATCCCTTGCATGAAAAAAAATAGCTGTCACTTTATTGATGTGAAACAGAATGAAGATAACATAAGAGCAGAACAAATGTCGGATCCCACTCAACATAATCTGTTTAGCAGTGTTCTGAAGCCTCCAGTGTAATTAAAAATTCTGCTATTGGTACCCTGACAAGCTACGTGAAGCTATCAGGCGTCTCCCACCCTTCATTTTCAATTCACCTCTCCCCTAAGCACGACTCCCAGACTGCCACATCTACCTGACAAGTGACAGCCCAATCTGATTAAATGTTTGCAGGGGAGGGGGATTGTGGGCTTCCATGACAGGCCAAAAGTGATCACCATGGAGATACATAATTACAGCTGTCAACGCCGTCTACTGTCCTGCTGGCATCAATTTGATTGCTCCCAGCAATAATGATAGACAAAGCTTAGTGTGCACTCTCCTACACCCAATCACGTTATCTATTCCTTGGTCCATTTAGCTGACATGCAACATTCACACAAGCAAATAACAGCAGTGCGCATAACATTTGAGGCATTTTAATTGTTTTTTCTTTATGTTAATATCTTACAAGCGTAAGTGTTATTACATAAAACTCCTGCTGCAGCATTAATTGAAGAAGGATTTGGTGGGACAGGGACTGTAGGGGGTAGAATATGTCCATTATCACTTGTACTTTCAACAGGTCGCATGTTTTAAAAACTGCAAATTGCAAAACTTGCAAGGGCAAAATGTTTGACATCATTTTATCTATGACCACATGGTGGATTTTCAAGTATTTCCATTACATATCCTTTTTCATAAAGAAACAAAAATCTTGATGTTTTTTAGAGGTTCAACTGAATTTCTATGGGAAATCCTTTTCTTAAAAAGAAATCCACTGTTGTTTGTAACATTTTGTGAAACGGTTGATAAAAGCACTTTCATAATTCTAACTGCTTCAATTAAATGAATACATTAACAGAGAGGTTTGTGGTTTCCATACATCACTACAAAACCATAGTTTGAGTTTTTAATGTATAAAAATACATTTGCCCTCTCCCCTTATTAAGAACACTTCAGCAAATAACCCATCATTTGGATAACTTACACTGGGCACATGTAACGGCTCTTGATACTGAGAGAGCCGACCTATCGAAGGCAGACCAAAGGATTTGTAGGGATCCTAGAAAAGGAAGTTCAAAGAGGGAACATTAACTTTAAAATAAAACACAGGAAACAAGGTAAACTGTTCATATAAGCCAAAGCCATTGGCAGTGCTATTTTTTCTTCAATGAAGGGAACAATTACTCTTGGGTCCTTTTTTCTTCTCATTTTTATCACTAAGCAAACGACCAATAAAGTTCCTCTCCGATTCAAAAGATTTGCACTGATTCCCTGATTAGCATAACAGTTACAAAATTATTAGTCTGCATTTAAAGACTGCAGAGAAAGCAACAACACAAAGAATCCAGGATGTCATAGGCAATTAAGCAAGGATCTTGTTTTATGGAAGGAAAAGAACTGAGAAGTTTGGGGAAAATCGAAGGAGAGTCCATTGTCTAGTTGAACTAGAATCAGTTACCATTAGTAATGCAAGGTGTATGTTATTAATTTTATATTCCAACTGAATAGATTATCAATTCCTATCCAACTCTGAATCCAATAGATAGTATTAGGCATGAATTGTGATGCCAGCTACAATTTACCTCTGCATAAACTCTGCATTCAACTGCCCAGCCATTGATGGGAATATCAGCTTGCTTCTGGCAAAGTGGGTAACCCTTAGCAACGCGGATCATTTGTTGGACGAGGTCCAGGCCAGTAATACATTCTGTGACAGGATGCTCAACCTGCAAGGTCACAAATCGTCAGTCATTAGGGGAAACAACAAAAAAGAATAATGTCACACTTTTGGAAAGGCTGGAGCTAACCAAGGATAAGACACTCCAGAATTATCTTATTATTTCATCATTGGCAAATATAAACACATACACACAATACACACCTATGTAATCCTTTAGTGATTTTAAGAAACAACTATTGGCATCTGATTATCTGTCTGCTCTTTTATACTTAACACTCTAAGCTCTGGAGTGTTTTGTGATTGCTTCACAACCAGTTTACCTTATACTTCACCCATTTGTCTGTTTCATTAACCTGTCCCAACAAGCAACCAGATTAACGTAATCTTACATCAACCCAGTGCAGCAGAAATGAGCAGATGGATCCTTCAGGTTTTTTCCCTCCAGACTAATCTGTGTAGTGCTTAGCATGCACAATAGCTGGGCTGAACCAATGCAGTCACTGTGCTATCAGCAAATTGCCTCTAACAGCTTCGCATGATGCTGTTAAGGGAATACCCAGTCTGAATATACACACTGGCCAACCTAGGTCTCCAACCTCAGTTAAAATGGATATAACAGGTTAAAAAAAAGCAATTGTACAATTTTACATTTGAAACTATATAAAATATATTAATGCATTTCATAAATGCTTTCCAATAAAATTTGATGCAGACATTTCTGGATATAGGCAAAGTGCTGACAACCAGGTAAAACTCCAATTTTAGTCATTATAATGTCGAGCTAAATGCTACCAGACACTTGTTTACTGGACTATTTCAGTAGAGACTAGCACAGTTATATAGAGCAGATGGTGCAATTAACTCAGTTCGGCTTTTATTCAGAGGAAATTTTCTTCATAATTAACTGACACTTTGACATTTTTGTAATACACGTCATTACTTAAATGCAAACATAGTTTGTATATAGTGTAAATCTAGCAAATGGATGTATGGAACAAGCACAAGCAGTTTATTATTTAAAGATAATGTAAGTTACTGTTCAATAACACTCAATTTGAAGTTCAGCATTCAAAAATTCTAGCATAACAAAATGTTCTCTTAATTCAGAGTGGTAAATTCAGAGGCCCCCAAATCTTACACGTTTCCGGACTGTACACTGAAGAGCCTTGCTGCATGTTTTTGCAAAAATGCAACAAAGAAAGTCTTCTGGGACAAATAACAAAACTAAAATAATTTTCTGAATGAACTTTTAAGAACTCATCCATGATATTCCATATTATTTTAATAGCACAAGTTCATTAAAAACCTTTTTCAGTTCACCTCATTGGTCAAATTTATAATGTGAAAATCTGCAAAACCAGAAGCAAACCTACTGGTTATGACCCTACAGGTTGAAATTTTCAGAATCAAGAGATTTCACATCTCTGCTGATAACCAGTAATTTGTCTAACTATACAAGAATTTGATCACTGTCATAATTTTAGGGGTTGATCTGATAAATTGAGAATAATAGTAAGGAACTTTATGGATAAAACACAAAAAGTAATTTCCTCACATTCTACTGCCAAAAGGAGTGGCAAGATTGAGATAACATTTAAAAAAACATCCTGATTCAATCAACATTCAAAAGTTGAAATAAATAAGTGTGACACCTCAGATAAGGGGGAGTGTCCCTCTTTCGGGTCAGTAGTTGACACCCATCCTGTAAAATGCGTGAATGATAAAATACTCTCACCATCACGCTACTGAGCAGTAATTGAGCACTCAATTACTTTAAAATAAGCATTTAACCAGCTAAATGAAAAAAATAGCAAAAATAGATCACGATAAAACTTTTACTATTACTATCATTACGGTCTTGCAGAGTTCACCCAGATCCGGTTTGTTTTTTCTCCTAAAATGTCCTCCAATGAAGGCAGATTCATGCTAGGGTACTGTTCCAACTGACTATCCACTGGTGTTGCAGTGGCTATCCTTCATTCTATGTGCCCAAGTGTCAGCAGGATAATCGACTTTGGGGCCATCACAGATATATCTTAGCCAGTCCTCAGCAGACAACCACATGCATGCGATTCTCAGCACGAGTCACCGAATAGCAATTAGGAACAGGAACTTTCGGTTGATTTTCCGCTCCACAACCCAAAGAAACTGCAGCCAATTTGTAGTATCCCAACTGCTGCCCCAACTCACGTCTATTGCAACACAGAGGGACTGCACCTGAGACGCTCCAGGTCTTTAAGGTTCAGTTTGCTTCTAACAACAGCCTTTGTCAATTGAGCTTTTCCAAAAATTTCCTTGAGTTGTAGATAAGTGTTCTAATTAGTTTGATCAGGGCCCACATATACAAACTGTGATAAAAAAAAAGTAATTTTTTTTCGTACAAATATAATTCAACGCAAAGACAAAATAGGCAGCAAGTAGGTAAGCACGCAAGATCTTTCTGGATCTGAAGTAGGAGATATAACTAGTAAAGCCATGAAGGTTCATCTTAATAATAATAATCCTTGCATTTGATATAGCGCTTTTCACATCGGGAGGACGTCCCAAAGTGCTTCACAGAACACACTGTAAAGTGAATTGACTGTATATTTGTGGGCGAACGCGGCAGCCAATTGCGCACAGCAATGTCCCACAAACAGTCGTAGATTGAAAATGACCAATTTTATTATTGTTTTTGTTTTTTGGAGGGATTATTATTAGGCGTGTGGAGTAAGGAAACTTGCCCAAGGTTTCGCCCTGCCTGGAATTGAACTCAGGTCTCTCGCTTGCAAAGCGAGTGCTCTAACCACTGAGCTACAGGACTCCACAAAGGCAGTGTTGGTCTTCAGCCTGGTGTCTGATACATGCAGAAACCATCATCATGCTTAAGAGATTCCAAACCAAACTGAGAATTCCATGCATCCCACCTATACATGGAAATTCCAGAGATGTTTGTTGGGATGGAATACACACTCTCATCCTGTCTACCTAATTCCAGAAAATATTAGGCCCAAATTGGCAAAAAAACACAAGACTTGGGGACCTCAGTGTGTGTGTTGGGGTACTGTTGGGAGTCTAAAAAAAAGTTTTACTTGCCATTGAGCACTGCCTGGCAACCTTACCCTTCAGGGCTTTGGCTTGCAGGGTTAATGGAAGAGTCCCTGTCCCAGTGACTGGTCTGCCCTTCCAGGTCCTGCCGATTAGTCAACTGACTGAGTTGTTATCAGCAGTGCCCTGGAATACTGGCTCAAGAACTGACCTACCGAGACCATCACAGAGGGCTGGCTCAATTCTGATACTCCGTTATGCACTGTTGGTTGTCTGGACTGCTTAACTTCTCAAGAAGAATTGAAATGTCCTCCCAAATGAAAACAAATTTATCTCATTTTGACTTTTTTCACTTACACCATTTCTTCCCAATGCCATGCATTTTTCATAAATAAGATGGCCAAGAGACCCAATTCCACCAACTATTGCTTGTGCCATATCATAATTATTAGCTTCACTTACTTGGGAGTTCAATTCAGAATCTTATAAGTTTTACTTGCCTCAGTAATTGCTGCCATAAAAAGTAACACTTTCAAACATTGAGCAGTAAGTACATTCAAATATGTTCTTCAAATGAACAATTTGCAATATGATTACAATGTGTGATTAATGTGTATTTCTCTTCACTCAATAATTGTTCTCCATTCTCCTGCCTTGTTGCTAGGTTTTTGTACATATAAGCATTTTGAGACATCCCTCAGTGTGAAAGGCACTTTATTAAATGCAAGGATTATTATTACTATTGTAATAGTTAAAACCAGTACATCATTATCTTCCTGTCTGATGCTCTTATTCGCACCTTATAATCCCAGATCAGTTTTCTTCCCTTGGTTTGCTGGCTTATGGCAATTCCCAAGGATTACTTTATCCCCCTTTGTGTCGCAAGTTTTTACCCAAATTGATTCAGAGGTTAAATCTCTCAATTACTGTCAGTTCTTTTTAAGAAATCCAGGCTTTACCCAAATCTTTTTTTCCTGTCCCTTCAAACTATTGTTGACATTGCTATGTTGAACGCATGTCCAATCTGAACCAAGTAGTTTTTAAACCAATTACTTTCTCCTCTGAAGCTCTAACACTCATTCTCCATGCTCTTTGTGTTAGAATAATATTTTAAAGTTTATTAATACTAAAACGATCCCTACCACCAGGTACTTCACAATTTATTTAGATAAGCTAAGGCTCATGTTTTCTAGCCCTTCGTCTATTCAGATGCAAATTTATCTCTTTCAAACTGTTTCTATTTTCCCGGAACTCTATTCCTTTCCAATGGCATCTTTCCATCCAAGCCTTAAATCCATTTTTATAGTTATGATTGGAATTCGGGCTAGTGTTAACTTTGCTGGGTTTATACTCCACTTCACTAGAAGAGCTGCCCAAGTGGAAGCGCTGACAGCCGGGCAGCACTTTTGAATGAGGCCGCTGGTTTTGTTTAAAAATGTTGATCCTTTTCAGATGACATCACACAACCTGCTGCAACCAACAGCTATTTATCAGCAAGAAGCAGCAGTACAATCAGAGAAAGCGGAGAAGGAAAACAGGGCAAACAGTTGCATGTGACTTCTGGTAGTGCCTATAATAGTAGCATTTTGTTTGGAAATCTGGACTGAAAGAGGTTACAAACAAGATTTCTGCCTAATCAGAAACAATGGAGTGTAAAGTTTTAAACTTTCAAACAGAAAGCTGAAACAGCATAGCTGTAAATAAATTAGCAGCACTATGACTACAACAGACTTTGTAAAGAAAACATTAGAAACATTGTAAGAATACAATTTAGTCCAATGAGGTCACAATTTACACTACCATAAACACCTCTGAGTATGAATAAAACAAATTAAATAAGAAAGATAGTTTAGGGCACAACCATGTCTCTTATATATAAAAAGTCACAAGTTGCAAACAACATATGAGCTATACCTATTGTTTATTATTGTGTGAATCCATGTGAAAAGCTTGGGTTTGTGAAATTTTGTTTTGGACTTCCAAGTTTTTAATATTTTGTTCATGTCAGTATGTAGACAAAGTAATAATAACATTGATCATTACTGGGCTTTAGTAAATGTAATAATCATCCTTGCATTTAATAGAACCCCTTATTACATGATCAAGACATCTCAAAGTGCTTCATAGGATACTGTAAAGTGGTATGATTACATGGATTTGGGGAGAAAAATAGTGAATGTACACTTTTTGCATCAGTAAATGGTAGGCTCTTTCAGCATTATTTTGTTTCCTCGCAAATAATAATAATAATAATAATAATCCTTGCATTTGATATAGCGCTTTTCACGTCGGGAGGACGTCCCAAAGCGCTTCACAGAATATACTGTAAAGTGAGTTGACTGTATATTTGTGGGCGAATAAGATAAATGACATCATAGTTAGATAAGAGGATGTCTTTGCAACAAAAGTTTCTCACACAAATTATAGCAGAGGGATACTGGTCGTTTTAGAAGTGAGCAATCTGACGATTTAACTTTTTTTCCTGATCCTGGGGCACCCAATGGCAGCAACAAGCATTGCTAGATCACACACATCACATTGCAATGGAATGAGCCAGGTCGCAGAGCAATTCATCTGAATAATTACTGTAAAGCTAGGTAGAAATCCAAAATGTTATATTCATGGAATGTTTAAAACAAAAGGTGACAGAAATTCAAATGTTATGTTAATTCCCCCCAAAAAATACTCACTGCTTTATTTAAATTCATCTAACACTAATGTTCGAAGAAAGAAAAGCACAACAGAATTGTGAATGGTCAGAGGTCTAGCAGATTTTTTGAAGATTAAGTCTGTCCTAAATTAAGTTTGCGTTGCAGTGAGCTGAGTCTGGTAAGAACCAACTCCTGGATACTTCAGATTTAACCAACGAACTGCCCATTACCAAGAACGTAAAAAGGTTCTCAGTAGCATTTATTTAAATTAATCTTTGTCTGCAAGGTTATTTTTGTTTCTAAAGTTACTTTATAAATGTGATCATAAATTAACAAGACTCATCAACAGATTTCATCTCTCTGTATATTGCTGATCAAGCATTGAAATTCAGAGCCGTTTAACCTTGCACAAAATTACCAGCCTTAGATGTCAATTACATAACTTGCACCAACTCCTATATATGCACATTTCCAGAGACGTTATTTCAACAATGAAGCACCTGCTCAAATGAATTCTGCAGGACCACACACTGTTGCTGATAGTTAAGTGTTATCTCACAGATGTGAATTACCAGCTTTGATTTTCACATGTGTGAGATATATATCCTGTGGGCAGTGAAACAACCAATGACGCCCACAGAATAGATTATCCAATTAAAAACCTATTAAATGTCACACTTGGATAGAACACCCATCAAATCAAAAGCTAAAATTAAATTTACATTTAAAATCCTATTACAAGTGCAATCATACACAAATTATCATCACTCAAAATTACAATATTAATGATATACCAAAACAGTAAAATCAAATGTTAAAGCTTTTTTCTCTCTTTTCCCCACAGAGTCTTCATCAGCTTTGTTTCTTCTTTAATTTGTTTATTCCAAACATCTCGCTCTTCTTCCCTTCTCCTCACATCAGATCATCTTCTGTTTCTTGATCAATCTTTGTCATTAGGTATGCTTGTTTCCGTTCCTTTCTGTGTAGTTCATCTCTGGACTTCCTTTCTGTCTTTTCTGTTATTTATTAGCTTTTCTTTCCTTTAATCCCCTCCTCAGATTTCTCCCTCACACTTCCTGCTCTACTGGCTACCCTGAATCCATCTGTTTTTTGTATATCTTACCAACTGCCAAATATTTTACTTGTTCTCAAATAAAATTCCTTACATTTCAATTCCAAACATCATTCTGCACTAGTCTGTTGCCCCGGAAGATTTGAAACAAGAAAATTCTAACATTTCTCATGGATTTTTGACTATTTCAGTTATGCCTTACGTAAAATATAATCCACAAGGATGGGATATCTTCTTTTCATACCCTGAAAATAAGTGTAGCTTATTATTAATGTTTGAATGATTATTATAATGCAATTCCACAATCAAACTCATACCACTCCCTTTTCTGAATCTGATTTATTGCACATTCCTCAATCCCTTTGTTCCATCATCAGTGGCCAAACTTTCAAACAATATATCCTTGCCCTCTGGAACTCTCCTGCTAACTTCAAATATGTCCATCCTAAAAACATTTCTCTTTGACAGTCCCTTTGGTTCACATCTTCAAATAATTTATTTCCCTATTCTATATAAAATGCAAGTTGTTGTTGGACGCCTTTTAAGATCAAATGAAGAACATCATTGGCACATCTCTGAGAGTTCCTATTTGACCACCATCATTCCAAAAGATGATGCTGACAAACCCAAGGGAAGAATGCAGAGGAAGAAATCTGAAAAGATGACTTTTTATTTTAAATGATAAATTCATCATAACTACTGAATGAGGTAATCCAGCGAGTCTGTATAATATTTATTTTAGAGAAATCCACACACTCACTCTCTAAAGAACTGAGAGGTGTCTGTAAAGGACTACAGTGATGGTGTGCAATGCACTCTTTTTAAAGGTTTTTTAAGACTCCATGTAATAAGGTAATAAATTAGTCTAGTATCACCATTTATGAAATGTTTTGAGAAATTAGTTCACTCAGACTTGAATACTAAGCCCACAAAAAGGTTGATTAACAAAATGCGAAGGAAAAATACTTTAATTTCAAATTGCAACAGGTTATCCCTCACAAATATCTTCCAAGGTGTTTTTTAAAAAAACAAAGGATTATTACCTCTGTGTAAAACAAATGAAGTTTAACAGCTATTAAATGTAAAGCTACTATGTAAATATTGAAGCCTTTTTTTCTTTTAAATCAAAACACACTTTTGTTATCCATAAAACACATTTCATTAGTCAGTATAAGTGGACCGCTGCTTTGGAAAACATTTTCAAATAGGCTGTGTTTTTTTTATTGCTGACACCAACATAAATTTTAGTGCAACACAGCATGTGATCAGTGCAGCAAAAACTGAAAGGAAATTTTGGCTGCCAAGTGGGAAAAATATCAAAGCTCTGCGGCTCGCCACATACTGGGGACTTTCTGGGGCACTTAACTGTACCTTGTTCAAGGTTTTTCAGGTCATTGAAGCAAGGGCAAAGTATGTAAAGCAACCACAGCCAGCAATAATTCAGCTCTATTCAAATCTACCATCCTTAGGAATTCAAAAAGAGACATCTTTCTCTACCTGAAGTCGAGTATTCATTTCTAAGAAGTAAAAGTTCTTCTCGGAATCCACAAGGAATTCAACAGTGCCAGCGGAGCAATATTTCACTGCTTTTGCCAAGGCCACTGCCTGCTCTCCCATAGCTCTGCGAGTCTCTTGGTCCAGAAAAGTGCTGCATAAAATAGAAAAAAAAACAATTCTCACCTCCATAACAATTACTCCTACGCATAAAAATATTTCATTATTTTAAATTCCTGATTAAATTGCTTTAAAATGAGTATAGTTGTTAAAAAAATCTCACCCTTTTAAATGGAAATTCAGTAAGGTCAAATAAAATGGATGAAGAAATTGGCAGATAAACACTGAAACCAGCAGCAGGACATATTTCAATATAAAATGAATAAAATACGGGTTTAATGCATTGCATGAGAAAACAACAATTTATATTTATGTAGCACCTTTCACATCAGGCAGACATCTCCAAGAAGTAATGGGATTGCATTAGAAATGTCATGGGTAAATAGAGATAACAACAACAACAAAATTAAATTTATAGAGCACCTTTCACGTCGGGAGGACGTCTCAAGGCACTGAAAGGTCAGGTGTCGGGGCCCGAGCATGGGGGAGGGGTGGTATAGGGGTGAGGGAAGGCAGAGATGTGGGAGGGAGACCAAAGGCATGGTCGAAAAGAAGGGTCTTGAGACCGGCCTTGAAGGAGGCAAGGGAGGAAATGAGGCAAAGAGACTGTAGTATGGAGTTCCAGAGTGTGGGGGCAGAGAGGCTGAAAGCCCGGCCACCGATGGTAGGGCGGGTCAGGTGGGAGACATGGAGCAGGCCAGAGCCCGCTGAACGGAGGGAGTGGGCAGGTTGGTAGGGAGACAGCAGGTCAGAGAGGTAGGAGGAGGCAAGGCCATGGATGGCCTTAAAGGTAAGGACGATAAGAACATAAATGAGAGGTTGAGAAGGAAAAAGATTGATTAGAAAGGCTGAGCCGAAGTTTGAAAACAAAACTGGCTATCAATATAAAGAATAAAAGCAATGACTTTTACAAGTATGTTGAGAATAGCCCAAAGGACAACCTCACGGTTGAGAATGAAAGAATGTAGGGGTATCAAGGGAGACTGGAAAAAAAANTATCTTCTGGAGCTAAAATTGAATAAGAAACAGTAAAACAAAGCTCAATGGAACTTAAAATAGAAGTCAGGGGAGACTGGAAAAAAATGCCAGAATAATTTGCATCCTAAAACACTGAAGGATGTCAAGAAGCAGATAGCAGATGCAATGACTTTAATCATTCAACATTTTTGAATCAGAATGTGCTAAAGGCCTGGAGAGTGGTAAATGTTACACCCCATGTTAAAAAAGTGAAAGGGGTTAAGCCAGAAAATCATGAGTAATATATTTTTCTCTTGTCTCAAACAAAAAGAGAAATATCTGCCTTGTCTATGCTAGAAAGCCACATTACAAGGTGTTGGGAGGGGTCGCAGATTCTTCCACCGATTGGTGAAAATTTAACACTGCAAGCCAATTTTGCAGAGAAGTAGGCCAAAAGAGGGCAACCAAAACCTAAAGTATCCACTAGCTCACTCACTCATGTCCAACCTCCAAAAATTATCTTTGTACATGGCACCTAATTATACACTGTACATGTAGCCCACTTTGAAAATATAACAATGTAATAATGCAGCATCGTACTCGAAATTTTTTTAAACTATTCAAATGGTATGTTTTTTTCATTGATTTGTGTGAGAATGCTTGTTCAGCACAATATAAAGCGAGGTGTTGCTAGAAAAAAATTCCAAAGTTGTTATCTTTTAAAAGACAAAACATTCTATGATTATTTTAAAATATTAGGCAGCATTAATAAATGTTATTTTGCCTTGGGATTTGAGACAGTATATAGAAATAAATCCAGTTGTAAACGTTGCTGTAATTTCACATCAGGTGCAGTAAATTCTCAGCTTTGATGGTATACTTGCATGACATATTGACAAAATTGCTGAATCATCTCTCTCACAGGTTGGTGTGAAACTCGCCTCGCAAGCGAGAGACCTGGGTTCAATTCCCGGCAGGGCGAAAGGTTGAGCAAGTTTCCTTACTCCACACGTCTCTGCTTATCCAGCAGTAAGTGTCGATTGGTGGATAATAATAATAATCCTTGCATCTGATATAGCGCTTTTCACATCTTTTAGACGTCTCAAAGCACTTCACAGAATATGCTGTAAAGTGAATTGACCGTATATTTGTGGGCGAAACGTGGCAGCCAATTGCGCACAGCAGTGTCCCACAAACAGTCGTGGATTGAAAATGACCAATTTATTATTCTGTTTTTTTGGAGGGATTATTATTAGGCGTGTGGAGTAAGGAAACTTGCCCAAGGTTTCGCTCTGCCTGGAATTGAATCCAGGTGTCTCGCTTGCAAGGCGAGTGCTCTAACCACTGAGCTACAGGACTCCACTTTTCCAGGGGTAATAATCCCTCCAAAAAAATCTATAAATAACTAATAATAATTTGGTCACTCAATCCACAACTGTTTGTGGCACACTACTGTGTGCAATTGGCTGCCACGTTTCACCCACAAAATATAGTCAATTCACTTTACAGTATATTCTTTGAAGCACTTTGAGACGTCTCAAAGACGTGATAAGGGCCTATATCAAATGCAAGGATTATTATTATTGTTAAATATCTATATTGGAATTGCCTTATCAACCTTCCATGTGTGACTGGTCATTAATGAGGAAGAAGTGCATTATTCAATAGGTAAACAGATTCATAACTTTTGGAAACATTCAGTCCACAAAGGATGACTGGTGAAGCAGTCAGTCGCATCTCCCATTAGATTCCCTACTTTGACCCATCGAAAGCATATTCTCTTTCAACATCAATTTAGCCTATGTTAAGGCCTGTATTTAAAACTTTTTTTTTGCTGCCAACATCAGCTAACCTATATTAAACTCTTATCCTACAAACAGAAGCTGTCCAATATATTTTGAATTGTTTTAAGATTTTGTGTTAGCTGCACTAGGTGACGATTAATTCCATAACTACCAATGAACAAGATTTTTATTCCAGCAATTTAATTTTTAAGCAATATCTGAATCCCCAAAGTTTAGATTATTTCCAAATAATTTATTTGGTTTTACTGTAACTGTTCCTTTGATTTAAACATCTGATTCTTAAATTCTTTTAGGTCTTTATTTTGCTAAAAAGTATACCCTTCTTTACAAAAAAGCACACATATGTAAAGCTCATAATCCTCTCCAAACATAAAACAGTATGGTATCTCTTTAAGTACATTTACTCTGTCTTAAAAGCATGATCTAACACAAGAAACATCTTTCTTTTTCTCCTCTATACCCTTTTTGTTGAAACAATATTTCTTCGATGATATGCTTACCAAACTAAATGTAATATTTTTACTTTGAGTTCACCAACATATAACAGAGTTAATACCATAATCCTTAGAACGGATATTTTGGCTTACAATTAGAAATATTTTGTCCCGTTAAAAAAAAATTAAGCACAGTGAAAGTATTCTGAACAAAATAGGATTAAGGCCAACCGGTCCCCGTTGAGATCAGGTAACACAAATATTCATCAGGGATTGAACCTGGGCCTTCTTGGTCCGAATGTCCCAGCCTCTCACTAAAACAACTCCCTGAGCTATTGGAGCTTATGTACTCCTCTTTTTACATCATCAAGCCAGTTTTCTGCCATTTTATTGTGCCTTCCCTAATTAAATAAACCCTCTATTTCATTACCAATGCCTTGAAGGATACTGCATTTAATGTTTTTGAAAACTATTGTATCTGCTGAATTGCTCCATGTACAGTTGGGCAATCCTCCAAAAAAGTCAATTTAGAGTCATTTGGTATAAACCCATGCTGAGTTTCCTCATTTATTTTTGATGATGATGATTATAATGTTAAAATGTGTCTTTTATAATACTTTCAAGCACTTTTACTACTACCAATATCACGCTCACAAGCCTTCAATTCTTTAGTTATCCTACCAATTCTTAAATCATTAAGCTTGCCACCTTCTGCTCCACTGGTATACTCACTCATCAACAAGCTACTGAGTACTTTTGTCAGAGGTCTTCCATTTCCTCCTTCCTTTCCTTAAACAGGGAACATTTTGTGCTGAAAGTACATCTTCAACTGCATTAGAAAACAACATAATTATTCTATGCTTATTACCACTGGTAAGAATCTGAAATATGAAGTATCAGAGAGGTTCACAAATTTCCTCTTCATCCAAGCTGTTTCAACAATATCACTGATGGGGAGGAATTATATGTCCTGCTGAAAGATGGCACCAATCATAGCAGGTCTCACACCACCCTACTCGAGATTGGTTAACCTGACACAAAATGAGAATTTTGGGGGGATATTTCCACTCTGAATGGCTAAGAAGCTCTTGAATATACTTGCTAAACCATTGGAGGAGCTAAAAGTTAAACGTTCAGTCAGAAGTGCCTCACCTTGGTGCCTCTTCAACCACCTTCTGGTTTCTTCTTTGAATGGAGCATTCCCTCTCATTAAGCCAGAGAGCATTACCGTGCTTGTCTGCTAGGACCTACAAAAGAAGTTGCTATTGAAACACAATATGTTATTCTAGTGAATGATCCCAGATGCAATCCTGATGTATAGCATTTTATCTCCAAAGTACGGTCGGTTCATGTTTTTTTTAATTGTATAATCTGTACTCCTTTTACTGAGCCTTCACAAATTTTGATTTCAAAATATTTTCATAAATTCATGACTCAGCTATAATTTTATACTTTTCTTCAATCTTTCTTGTAAGTATTTCATTCTATTCCGCACTATCCTTGTGGAGTCCTGTAGCTCAGTGGTTAGAGCACTCGCTTTGCAAGTGAGAGAGACCTGAGTTCAATTCCAGGCAGAGGGCGAAACCTTGGGCAAGTTTCCTTACTCCACACGCCTAATAATAATCCCTCCAAAACCAAAAACAATAATAAATTGGTAATTTTCAATCTACGACTGTTTGTGGGACATTGCTGTGCGCATTTGGCTGCCGCGTTCGCCCACAAATATACAGTCAATTCACTTTACAGTGTGTTCTGTGAAGCGCTTTGGGACGTCCTCCCGACGTGAAAAGCGCTTTATCAAATGCAAGGATTATTATTATTATTATTATTATTATTCCTTTTCTTGCAATCCGTTATTTCTTACTCCTTTCTTAACCTCATCTCTCTTGATGCCCTAACCCAGCTCTTCAGAATTCTGAGTTGTAACATGGTTTTGGAAGCAGAATGGGCTGCTGGCACTCATTGTCCAAGCTCCATTGCTACTTGGGTGATGTATCCACCCAAGCATTTTGTCCAACTAGCACAAAATAAATGCTGCCTTCAGAAGAGGGGAGGCAAAGTGAAAAATGAAAACAGGGCAGGGAAAGCATTAACAAGTTGCTTTATATATATCTGACTGTCATTTTTCAAAATTTTAAGTCATGTCCCTTGATAAAATGCAAATATACTAAAACCCCGGCATACTGGACTCTGGGTATCCAAAATTCAACCCCACCCCCCCACCATTACTACACCCAGTGGGGTTTTAGTGTATATGTTCTATCAAACTCGCTCTTCATCTCTTCCTTCTCTCAACCACCTTTCTTCAACCTCCAATTGTACAACTTTAAACTGAATTTCTCATCCTTCCTCAAACCTGTATTTCAATGTGCCGAGGATTGTCAATGAACTTCTCCACCAAGAGTCGATCATCACCAAAACTGGAAGCAGCTTCTTGCGATGAAAATCTAAAACCTTCCCTGCAGAATAGTAAAAGACAAACCATTAGAGTAGGTTTTATCTTTCACAAGAAAAACTTAATTATTCTAAAATTACTTCAGCCAAAAAACATAAGATAACATTTGTGATTACAGTCTTCTTATTATACTATCTAACAAATTGATACTGAACACTGGAATGTTCTTGCAGTAGTTATGTGTTAAATCTTGAAACATCTGAAGAAAAGGTTTCTGTGGATCAAATGCAAGATACAAATTAAGAAACGTTCAAAACCACACTTTGAATAAAGTGAAAATGTGCAGGACTTTAATCTGGCTCAAGTAGTCCCCAGAGAGTTAAAATGTTATGTTCCTGTCCTTTTCAAGGGAAAAAATATGACTTTTTGCAGTTAGCTATCTTTTAGATATTTTTTCAGCGCTAACTTTTTTAACGAAAAATACCACTACTAGCATTGTAATTGTTTGAATACCCATGGAATTTTAAAAACCTTTTCAGTTTGCATTCATTTCACCATAATTTCTCACTCATTAAAATAGTAAAAATAGCAAATAACCTAAAAGTGTTAAAAAATACATAAAATTAATGGGCCCGTTAGTCCTCGCATGTAGTGAATCCACAGACCAATTAAAAAAAATCACGTTTGGCAGGAATGTTTTTAACAACCAAGTTCTTTCATTTGCTAATCTATTTGTCAGTGTGCATAAATGATTCTGTTTTTATTCACTCGTTTGTTTCACCGGATAAATTAATTGCAGTATAAATTACACATCAAATATTGATACAATTAAGTAAGTTTCTAATATCACTTCATTTGTGTCAATTTGTTTGAACAATTATCTACTTCATTAAGTATCTTACAATAGTCCACTGAAGTTAAGGACTCTATTCTTCCATTGATCTGGACTGCGGTTCAAAGCTTGTTTTACTGCATATTAGAAGAGGCTCAGTTCCAGATACAAACAGTTCTCAGTTAACACAAAGATATTTGCTACAAGAGATCCAAAATACGGGAATTTGATGAACACTTTACTGGAGTGGAGGGTGTCCCACTCGTTCATGATTACAGATTTTTAGCTCGGTGGTATATGGTAATTAATTTACCAGATACTAATAGAAATTCATTTAAAAATCTTGTTAAAAGTTCAAACAACACATTCAATCTTATTGAAATGACACTACTAGGGATCCTGCATATTCAGATCACAAAATAATGTTTTACTTTGTTGTGCCATTATCCTTATGTTTGCAACTTTATGTACATAAACATACGTGGGAGACAGTTTCTTGCTCATCCACCATCAAAGGGAATCAGGAGCATAGCAAGATAAAATCCCATCAAATTTAATGAATGTCTTTGAGATGCAAAGTCAGTAATCAAGTATAGATAGATTAGACATATGGTTGAATACACAGTTATTTTCACATTTATTCTGAAGAAGATAGAATAAATGATAAAAACAACTTATGAAAATCCAAGATATTGTTTGAATTTACTGAGAAAACAAACCACTTCTTGAAGACATAAAATGGACTTACCCCCCCACCATGGCAGTTAGTCAAATACTCCCTGGTGTGTAATTCATTCACACAGATTTTAAACATCATGTCCCATGGTTGGTCTGTGTTCAGCTAGTCAAATTTACTCAGCTTACTCTAATGTGTAGTGACTGTGTATTTTGAGGGCGAACACAACAGCTACATTGCACACATTATTGTCCCACAAACTGCCATGAAGTGAATGATCAATTATATCTGGGGGATTTTGGCCAGAACACCAGAAGAAACTACTTTTTCTCTCTGAATAGTGCCAGGGGATCATAACGCCTATCTGAATTGGCAGGCGGAAATTCCGGCTCGCCAAACCGGAGCCCTCTCACCAGAACATCTCATCCAAAGGACGGTACCCCTAAAAATGCAGTGCACCTACAGCAGAGGTGACAGCTTGGAAAATGTAAGTTCAGAGTCCTAACGTTGGGCTTGAACCCACAACTTCCTAACTTAGAGGCAAGAGTTCTACCAACTGATCCAGGCAGACACCCAAGGATATAGATGGCTCTGAGACACTATTTAAATGCAAGTTGTTGTTGTTAAATATCTGAGGAATAAAGGAATTGCTTGATTTGGCTGAACTGCGGTGAAGCCCCATAAAGAAGTGGGATTCGATTATCTCACTGTGAACTGTCAGCATGACAACTCTAGAGATGAGAAAGGAGAATTCATCTCTCCATCATTATTTGATAGCTAAAGCAGCATGGCATACGAGTAAACAGATAGACATAAAACTCATCTATTTTGTGGTTCATAAAAGTTGGACAGACTTCGTCTTTCTGTTATCACAAAGCTTGCAATTACAAAAGTGAAGCCTACAGTGGTAAATAACGGACTGTTCCAGTCTCAGAAATGAACCAGCCTTTAACAGAACTAAGCCAAACCCGACTCCTTAAAGAGTGGAAAACAGCTAAAGAAAAATGATTTTTTAATTGCCAAAATTCAGCCAAAAAAGTGGGTACATCAAAGTTTTTTTAAAAAAAGGACTGTTTTCCATACATGATGAGCCAACCTTGTTACAAGTTATGTCCCATAAAACAATGCTTCAATTGTGAGGAGGCAATCATTTGTTTTGAGCTATTAGACAGTTTTTTCCCCTCCTGCTGGCAAAAACACTCCGTAAGAAAACAAGTTTGTTTCACAGCAATAGAAGAAATGTTTTATGAAATATTCCACTTCTATTCCAAATTCCATTGGCCACATCAATGGCACAGACAAAATGATAAAAAGATTAGAAACAACATTTGGAGAGGAAAGAGCAAAACAGTCAAGATGTCTCCAGGACCTTCCCAGTCAGGGGATTATTATGCCAAAGAACTTGGGTCATTTCAGCTCATTGTTGTCTGTTTTGACTGTTTTCTGCAAGGCATGGATATAAGACTGTCATCAGAGGATCCCGGAGTGAGCAAAAGGATAAAGGCATTAGGATCCAGGAAGAAATTATACAGATATTCAGACCAATCAGACAACTTTTTGTTCATAAACTATTTACTAGGCTGATCAGGGATACTAGACCAATCAAGGATATTCGCAGGTTGATTGATCAAGGTTATTCATGATAGTAAAAGATTTGGCGCTAGGGCTGTCAGGATCAGCAGGAGAGAAGATAACTCTGTTAATTTTTTCCAAGAAGGGAGTTGAGGCCAGAAAGCTGGATTTACAGGAAATTCCTCATATATCGTTACTCCAGGAGAAAGAGCTCAGTGACTCTTTACTGGTGTGACTGTGTAAGGCATGAGTTCTCCAGGGCCACTAGGGTGCCCTGTGGCTGGGAGGACCTTCACCAACACACATTGTACCTGTGCAGGGCATGCAGCTGTTAGTGTGATAGAGCGCCCCTGGCAACTTTCAGCTTATTTGCTAAAAACATGTTTAAGTTAAGTACAGTATAGGTTTATGTATAGGCATATGTGACCATAAAAAAACATTTTGTTAATTTTGCTCATTTTATTATTCTAACCATTCTATTGTTCTAACCATTCTAACAAACTATTCAACAGTTTTGTTCATAATTTCTCAACCTGAATCACTCAGATTTCAACAAAAAGGCAAAACCTCACGGAGGGCAAGGTCTAAAATTTCTACTCACAGGGATCTTGCCACAACAGTCAAGACAGCTACCTCGAGGCTGGCTGAGGGTAAGGGTAACCTTCTCCCACAGTTCCATCGCAAAAGTTCATCGAGTGACCCCAGCACGGGCACAGCAATGTAGGTCAGTTCATTACGATGATTATATCCAATAATTTATTTATCGGGATACATAGAATGTTATAAGTGATTGATGAATAAAGGGCGGGGGGGAGGGGTGTCCCTTATTCACACTTTGCATGGTAGCGGCCAGGATATTTACAGCATGATGATATAAGCCAGGGTTTTGTTTTCAGCAGTTCACTGTATTTAAAATACAAATAGAGAAATAGCTTACGTTATGAGAATAAAGAGAAGGCCAACAGCAGTTACACTGCAGCTGACTATTGCAAGATTTGGTCATAGAATTGGGGCAAAGTTTGCAGATGAGACTAAGATTATATTAATACTACGGAAATGGTTTGTGGAAGACAGTCGTGTGAAACTGTTTCTGAAATTGTAGAACATGGTACAAAATAAAGGAAGGAGTGAAAAATAAGAGGGGGAAGAGAAGAGAATTTTGAACAAAACTGCTGAATAGTTTGTTAGAATGGTTAGAACAATAGTTCTATTGTTTTATTAAAACAAGAGCCTGTTCCATGGCTACAGATTACAGAGTTTGCATCAGTTGTGTTTGCTTGTTTAAACAACACAGTTGCCATATTTCATTCTGTCACCATAGGGTCAAGGTTGGTGTCTGTGCTGAATTTAATATTAAATTAGACTTGGCTTTTGGAGCCTAGAAATCACAGCAGTTCTAGTTCTATTTGGTTGCACTATAAGCAGCACTTCAAGACACTTATACCAGCCAAGTTTAAAAAAGAAACATATTTAGAGCATCAAATAAAGGATCCCAAAAATGCATTAAACAGTACAATGAAGCTGTGCTATTACTATGTTTCCAGTCAAAATGGACCGAAAACAGAACAACACACCGGCTTTGTTTGATCTTGTGCTGGCCATTTCAGGAGTAAAACAAATCAAGGTTTGGTTTAATTCAAAGTCAATATGGTTCCAATAGCATAACATTCTTAGGGTACAATTGTGATTACTCCACTTTAGAATTCAAGTGCCCTGTAAGCATCTCGTCAATGCTATTGTCACTTCTTATAGGAGCTTTTCCACTGGTTCTTTGAGTATGTTCAGAACACCATGTTCACACAAATTACTTCTCAAAGCCTTGTCTTCTTTGTTGAGAGAAACTTTACAACTGGAATTAACAATTTTGTGATTCTTTTCGACCGGGCCTTTGGTCACCTTCCTCCCCCTCTCCTTGGCTCGGCGCCGCGATCCGTTACTGTAAAGCGCTCGGAGACGCTGTCCGGTGTGGAGGGTGCTATATAAA